TCTGTATTGTTGTGAAGCAGTAAAACATAGAACAATAGTTTTATGTCATTCCATGTATTATTTACTTAGCAATACAGAAATACTAAATAAAATTATATTAGCGAATTCTGCTACCTTCCATTTTTCTCCTCCTTACTCCAAAGTATATCTTATGTTCAGCTGATTTTTTTGAATATTTCAAACTTAATTAGGAAATATTTTATTGCATCCTTTAATTGACATTTTTTTCTTTTATTCTTACAATGGGTTTTCTGACAAATTTTATATCATTAATAATTTTCAAGTCTTTAATTTTAAAATGTACTCTTATTTAAAAAAAAAATGGGTTTATTTTATCAAAATCTCAATTTAATTTGTTAGTTTGTAGTATATATATATTTTAAATTTGTAACTTCCGCCATGTGTAATTTCACAATTATCATTCATTATTTATATTCTGAAATTATATAATAAAAACCACACTACATAATTATAAAGTTATACATTTACATTTGAACTGAGTAGAAATTTAAACTTAAATTTTTTTCCCTTAATAATATTAAAATTTTTCGATTTTTAAGTGGACATTTCTTGTAATAATTGACACAAATAAAGAACAAAATTTAAAAATATTCAAATTACTTACTTCAACAAATTTACACATATTTTTTCTCTTTCACTTCCTTCTTCTTACTTCCTTCTCTTTTCACTGGAATTGCTAAATGGAGAAATACTTACGTAACTTTATTCTTTCAATATTTGAAATTTTATTTAGCAAAACACCTAAAAACAAAACTTCAACGCAAGGTAGAAATTTTTCCAGGGAATGAAACCGGGAAAGCAAGGGGATCATGAAAATTGCTAATATTTTCTTATAATGTTAAAATAACTTTTATGGGCACATCAGAAATTTTCACCAATCCGATAATTATTTAAAGGTGTTATGCTCGATTAAACTAACAATCGTTGCAAAAAATTTACATAACATTTTAATTTCAAAACTGTCAGTAAATATTTTGTGTTATCTAAATTAAATTTGCACAAACATATAATTGCATACAAGAATAAGAAGAAAAAATAAAATTTTTTACATTATCGTTTAAAAGTTGCCTTAACTATTAAAGATCAAAATTTGACTACAATCAATTACTCTTTTGAGAAAGTTACTATAACAAAATGGATTTTTGATTAAGACAATTCCATTCCTCGTCTTTCTCTGAGTATATAGTATGCGTTATGAAGAATTAGCCTTAAAAAAATATATATTATACATTTAAAAAAGTTGCTTTTGCAAAGAACCTTATATATAAAAATTTAAACAAGATTCTTCTCTGATTTAAATTTTCTGTTTTTTACAATAATGTAAATAAATGTTCTGCTAAATTTTAAATATTAAGCCAAATAAATTTTTACTATTATCATTATTTTACAATTACATTAATTTAAACATCATAAAAATATCTCAAATCTTATCTCAAATTTGAACTGCAAAATTGAAGTAATAAATACAATGCTAGTAGTATAATTGCTCATAAGTTAGAGTTATTGTTTAACAATGATGTTAAAATAAAATTGCTTCTGTTATCTTTAAAATTTCTTGAATTTTCACAATACTTAAACATAACTATAATGACTAGAATAAATTACACAATGCAGTAGTTAAGAATAAAAAAATAAATCAAATCAAATCATGACAAACATTTCACTACTTAATTATTTTATTTTAAAACAAAACACAATATAAATATAACTTCACTAAACTATAAAAGCAATACATTCTTACCATCATTGTTTAATATAAGCTTATCAATATTCTTTTGTTAAAATATAAGTTAAGAACACGTATTTGTAATTAAATAAAATAAATTTTTTTTCTAAAAGCAACAGTAGGACCATGTGTTATCATTTTAATTATTATTATTTTTAAATTAAAAAAAATTTCAAAACTTTACAGTCATTTCATACAGTTTAAAGTTTTTCTTCAATTCAATTTTTTGTTTTTGTGCAACTGAACTATATTTCAGAGCAATAAACTGAAAATCTTTGCTTTAT